ATCGCTGGCAACGCTCTCTGTACTGCAAGGATCGATATCGCCGGTATCACGAGATCTGCAATCTAGCTTCATTTATGTAACATTGATCAAATTACCAACTACATATAAGTGCAAAATTAGACCACAAAACCACTCCATCTCATATTTTTTGTATTAAAAGCTTTTATGTTACTAATACAACACATATTAATATACTCCCCAAATTAAATTTTTATAGAAAAATTTAAAAAAAAATTTTTTTTAGATTTTTTAAAACTTTTTCAAAAAAATTAAAAAAAATTTAAACTTTTCAAAAAATTAAAAAAATTTTTAAACTTTTACGTACATTGCCTGTAATGCATCAATTATATTGGGTCGTTGCATAAGTCCGTGCCGTTTTTATTAGTATAAAATATACTACATATTACATTACAATACACTAAAATACTGGCACATAAACCATAAATCACTCACACATTTTTCACTCACTGATGCACGTTAAGACTTACTCAACAATACTGACACTTGCTAATCTGATGAAAAACGACACGGACTTATGCACCGGCCCAATATTTTACGTACACTGCTTTTTTGGTCTTGTAAAATATCTAATTCTAATTATAAAATTATATGATATTTTTTTTATTGCTTTCCTGTGTGTTTACAATTTTCTTCATTTTTGTCCTTCCCTTTTTCTTATACCTCTAAAAACTCCTTCGTCTTCCTCTTATCTTTCTCCCTATCTTCTTTTGGCCCCCTCCCCCATTCTTTTTTCCATTATCATCTCCTTTTATTCCCCCTTTCCTCAGATTCCTAAATTTCCTTCAAATCATTACATCATCCCATGGGGCGGGCCCTAACTCTCTTTACAAACCTCTTTATCGTGCTTTTGGTCTCAGTTTCTTCTACCGACCTCAGTTTTTCTCAGTCACCATCGTCTTCATCGACCGCGGCACGCCAGCTAAGACTTTCGCTGACCCAATCCACGGATACCACTGAGACTCGGTCCCTTCGTCTCGAAGCCTGAACTATTTGACCTCGGAAGCCTTTGCTAAATCCCCTGCTCAGCAGGCCATCCCGTTCGTCAGAGCCCAAGTGTCACGCTCTGTATTATACATATTGCCACTGCTTGCGTCGTAACAAGTAAGACATAAAACTTTTCATTTTTCTAATTAGCCCTCTAGTCTACGCACCACGCCACACAGCGATCCACACACGTGAATAATCAGTCCCATAAAAATTTTTTATGTCTTATATATTGTTCCCCTAACTTATGCTGATTATTAGTTGCGCGTAAGAGGTTTATAATCTTTCACAAGAAGTAAACTATTACATGAGATTATAAAGTAGACTATTACATGAGAATATATCAATCCAGATTTTTGTCGAAGTTGGCTCCACTGACGCACTGCACCATTAATTGACGAAAAAATCTACTAACTTTTAGTGATTACCACATTTTTTTAATGAATTCCACTATTATATCACAAAAAACAGTAAAACAACGAAAGGCAAAAATGCCCGGCAAACTTAATGACAATATTCGACTGTGTTCCTTTCATCGGCTGGCCTACAGTGCCAAATAAACTTTCATAGTTTACATTTTTCAAAAAATTTTCAAAACATTTACTCGGATTTCTTGTGCGGCGGTTTGGTGAATGCCATGGTACGTACATCGCTGCTAATTAGGATATTGTCCAGGGCAACATGTATCGCCAACCGTGACCACCGATCGTAGACGACCAGTTTCTTGAGGACCTGTGCAACTGTATTTGGCCCAAACCATTCACCAATTTGCTTGCCTTCTGATACTCCCATATTTGCTGAAGAAAATAATGAAAATACAGATTTCAGGTGCCAGCCGAATATGTCCAAAATCTCTGTTTTAGGCCTGGAAATGTGCTAAGTCATGGCGAAATATTACAGAATTTTGAGCATTTTCTCCAAGAAATCTTCCCATTTCCCAAACAGCAACTATAACTGATGAATATTTACACCACCATAAAAGAATACAGATTTTTTTCCTGCCCAATCCAAGAAAGGAATATGATTTTTGATTACAGGGATATGATTTTTTATTCAGATGTGATTTCGTGTTGAATAAGTAGCCGTTTTAAAATCAAATACGACGAACATTTTTAATCTCAACAAATGACCGCAAATTTCATGAAAAAAAAAGTAATATGAGGCAAATATCCGAACAAAAAAAAATGGAAATTAGAAGCTTTGTATGACCGAATACGACGAATTAGATTAGTACTGCAAAGTAAAAATCGGATAAAAGTTTTTGTTTCGAATCATTAGCCAGTGAAAATGTAAGCGACGAAGAATGTGAAAAGAATAAACAAGGGTATGCTAAAATCCGAAATGAATAACCGAATAATCGGCACAAATAATTCAATAAAAGAACGCAATAATATGAAAGGAATAATTGGATCAAATAAAAAAGTAATGAAAGAGTTGAAATGAACGGCGGAAAGGCAAGGACTAATCATCAAATTTTAAAATGAATGAAGTAATTTGAAGAAAAATCGATGAAAAAATTAATTAAAAGGGTGATTTGGAAGAATTAAACGAAATAGTTGAAATGAATAACGGGAAAACTAGAATTAATCATCAAATTTTAAAATGAATGAGATAAACTGAAAAAAAAAGGAAGTAATTAATAAAGTAATCGAGCGAAAAGATTAAATTTGGAATTAAATCAAAGGAACGGAATGAAATAATTTGAAATGAATAACCATATAACCGAACAGAACTGAACTCTGATTAAAGAATTTGAAAAAAAAAACCTCACCAATTTGGTGTATCGAGAAGAGGGAGGATTTTTTGTCCTGAAACATTCGTAAAATACGCTTGTAATCGTCTTCCTTGGCTTCCCTATTCCATAGCCAATCTGAGCCGAGATGGCGTACGATTAGGGCACGAGCCAGAAGCATTTGTCCACAGCGTAGCATACAACCCCATCCTTGGTCACTTTTTGGTCCTGTACCACCTGTAATATAACCCACTTTACTTTATACTCTAAAAATTTGCATAATTTGGAAATTTAAGAGGAAAAATTCTTATGCCGAGCCAACGG